CTTGCTGCTGGTTCTTTTTTTTTTTTTCAGAATGATATACAAATTTATAATTACATTGTCATTATCTCCGTACACTAATTTTCAAATTTTAAAATGGATAACGGATTAGTACATGGCTATTACAGTTACAAGTCACTTTGTGCCTAGTAAGTTACTTATAAGTTTAAACTCAAAATGGTTTTATAATACCTTATGATTTAGCTGATTCGAAAGTTAATTAAAGAACTTGAAACCATCTGAAAAAGCAAAATACTTTTTCAAGAAAGCCTTAAAAATCAAGACTTATTTGGATTAACAAAAAAAAAAATCCGACCGCCCGATCGAAATTTCGAATGTCGTGTAATGCAAAACGAAAATAACCTTTGTGTGGCCTAAAAGCTATTTCTGTTCACATATATACTTATTCTAAAGATCGTTAGAATGTCTTTATAGTATTTATATATCAATTTGATCAATTACTTAATCGAATCTGCCGACAAATCATTCGGCTAATTTTTATAAAATGCCAAGATCTTGTCTTAGTCGGGATCCTGCCTTAGTCGGGATCCTGCCTTAGTCGGGATCCTGCCTTAGTCGGGATTCTATCTTAGTTGGGATCTTGACTTTTGAAATTTTGGCTATTCGGGATTTTGACTATTCGGGATTTTGACTATTCGGGATTTTGACTATTCGGGATCCTGTATTAGTCGGGATCTTCGGGGTTTTTGATAGTCGGGATTTTGACTATTCGGGATTTTGAATGTCGGGATCTTGACTTGTCGGGGTTCTGTCTTAGTCGGGATTTTACTTGTCGGTTAGTCGGGATTTTGGATTTCGGGATTATGTATTGCCAGGATTTTGGATGTCGGGATTTTGTGGTAAATCCTTAAAAAGTGTTCATAAGTGTGATACTAGGGGTGTGAATTTCAAGAAAATAGCTTCATAGGATTTCATACGTGTTTTTGTGTAACTACCTATTCTTCACATTTTTATATAACACGCCTGTCACACCCTAAACATACCCCAAATAATACTGCATTTTAATTGGTTAATAATACAAGGGGCGAACATTTTTTTGTGGGTTAGCTAGAGGGTTCTTCATCTCTGCAGATATTTACGTATAATCCCGTTATGGTGCACTTATGTAACGTTATGATTATTTTTTTTTTATATATTAATTCGTATTCTCATATCTATAATTTATTATAAAATTGTGAAAGCTGGTTAAAAATGCAATTTTCTATCTTTAATAATAAAAACTAAGTATATTTAAAAACTTTCAACAAGGTTTAGAATTGTATACTTAAATGCTTCAAATTCCAATTCTATTCTAATAACAAATATTAACCGTGAATATTCCAATAATATAACCTATATATGATAGGAATTGAATCTTTTTTGTTTATACTATGTTAACATATTATTTTGAACATCAAAAGCATAAATTATTTCAGATAATGATGTTCTGTAATTTTAACGTTAAGAAGATTTATACTTTAAAGACCATGATATAACTGCAGTATTTATTCGTATTTCACGGAATGGCAAAAGATGTGTCAATAATGAAGAGCAAATACAACTTAGAGCCGATATTATAATAGTCATTGTCGGCTACCTAATATTAATTTCGACCATAGCTATAAATAGAAAGACAAATTCGATCAATTTGAAAATAGTGTACGGAGATAATGACAATGTAATTATAAATTTGTATATCATTCTGAAAAAAAAAAAAAGAACCAGCAGCAAG